AATGAATGAAAACCCAAAATCTCTGTAAATGTTCATTAAAACTAATAAAATTTAATAATAATTAAAAAAAAGAAAATAGGAATGGAGACACTTTTAAAAAATATTTCTATATATGAGTTTATATCTATGAAGCTCTGGTAGCATAGTCCCTAGGGTTTGTCCCCAAAGGCTGTACCTCTCTGGTGGTTCAAATCCACTAGTGGCTCTGCAGGGGAAAGATAGGCACATTCCTCCTGTGCAATTTATCACTTTGGAATCTCGGTGGGTCAGCTACAAGTAGGCTCCAATTCCACCATAAGAGAAGATTTAATGTACATTAAATCACCTTTGATCTTGGTTTCTAAATATCAGATTCCAATCAAAGGATCCAGCTTCCTTGGAAAAATGCCTGATTCCAAGACTAGGGCAGGAAAAACTCTAAATGAGTCAGGAACATCTTTTGTGTCAGTAAAGAAGTGTTCAATGCAACATAAGGTTTTATTAAAAAGACATAAAGAGTCAAGCTGAGGGAACTCCTAATAAAGATGGAATAATTTCAGCAATAAAGTAAGTATTTGAAATACTGGATTTAAAGAAATAAAAATTTAAACCCTATCTACTTCGACAGAAGTGACTAAATAAGTCAAAGGTAAGAATTATCATTAATAAATGAAGGAAATAGAAAATCAGTAATAGAAAAGCTTCACTGTTAATAACTGTTACAGTTAAAATCAGTGGCTGAACACTTAAGAAACAAAATGCTCAGACTCAGAGCATCTTCTTTAAAGTTCCTAAGTTCTAAACAAAAAGAGAGCAGCGTCATAGACTTTCCAACAATTTATGTTTTGTTTCTATTTAGACGTTTCAAGTACTAATTCAGGCATATTTTTTAAAATAGTATATATCTCTTACATATTAAAGCAATAGCATATTAAAATTACTATCACAAAAATACTAACCTTTTAAGGCTTGGCTCTTTTAAAGAAAAAGGAATACATCTTCTACGGCTTAGACGTTCTGAACATGCAACTTCTACCTTTTTTTCAGATTTAGGAGTGTTATTTGAATCAAACCTGGTATTTGTCAAGTCCTGTAGCATTCTGTCATCTGGAAAAGAATATATTATCACAAATACTTATAATACAGAGACACAGAAACAGATATAGAAAATAGAGTCATTTGCAAATCTAGATAACATTTTAAAACTTATATTTGGGAATCCATTTTTCCCAATAATTTTGATAAAAGATATTTCATTTTTCCCCTGTATTTAACTTGAAGACTTTAATGAAAATACTACTTTCAAATATAAAAGCAAATTTTAAGCAAAAAAATTAAGCGTGCTTAGAGCAGTGACCACAAATAGGTCTAGAAAGCATGTGGAGGGAGCAGCGATGTGAGCGGCAGAGTGGCTGAAAGCCCCCATCTGTCAGTCTGTTGTACCATGGTGCTTAGGTGTTGCTATGATGTGGAAGGTTATGCCAGCAGTATTTCAAGTATCAACAAGGATCACACTTGGTGGCTAAGTTTAAGCAGACCTTTCAGATGAAGATAAACTAGGAAAAAATTGGTGGAGAATTCCACAAACTAGCTAATGAAAACACTAAGAATCACAATGGGATACAGTCTAGTAGATTGCTGACACATGAGCCTCCTAAGTTGGAATATATTCAAAATAGACAGTGGTTTCAATAATGGACTCCGATTCAAGGTTGTGAAGATGGTTTAGAACTTCTGTTTCATTCTGCTGTACCTGGGCTGTCAAGAGTTAACTGACTTGACAGCAGTGAACAAAGCAACAGCTGAAATATCACTGGAAAGGGCTCTTCCTTTGAAGCCAGAGAATTAAACTTTAAAACTAAATAGGCTCTGACATTTTTAGTCTAGAATCAGAATAGAAAGACTGACAAATTCGTCATGGCTCAACTCTTCACAGAATCATACTAGTAACGGTATACTCCTTCATTTAGTATATGTTTCGACTAGCTGCTCACTCTGTGAAAAGCACCATGGGGAGGGGAGAGTTGAAAATACTTCAACTTCTTCAATACACCTGGCATTACTTTGTCCTTCCCTTGACTCAGTATTTACCTTCTACCTGGAGCAGACTTACCTGTCAAAATCCTAATGTTCTACATACATATATTGAAATGTTAGGACGCTCCTCCCCATAGAAAACCGTTATTAATATGAGAATATCTATTTGAAGTGGGGGAAAATGAGATACAAAGTCTTCTATACAGTATGATTTCAAACATCTATTTATTTGAAAAGCCACACATTTTAAGTCTGGATATGTATGCCAAAATGCTAACTGTATTTCCTCCAGGTCATTTTGTTCCTGATTTTTTACTTTCCATTTTCTGCATTGAGTTAATACTAACTTTATTTTTTTTAGTTAATAATATTTTAATTAAGTGGGGAAAAAAATCCACACCCCAAAAACCCCAACAAGCTTGCTGGCACATAAAAACAACAGTAATAAAGTAGAAAAACCTTCTTGAGACTTGACATTCTGCTCAATTCATGATGGATTTTCAAATTCCTGTAGTCAAATTTACTCTCCAGCATAACCCTTTAGCATATTTGTGCATTTTTTAAAGTATTAATCACATTTTACAAATAGTTTCTTTTACATAAGCATACACTGAGGAATGAACCTATATTGTTTTCATTTTCTACAACAGCTAGAACAAAGCTTTGATCTTATTAAATATGTTACTGAATTTAAAAAAATCACACTCTTAAGGAACTTGCCATTGTCTCTGGTAAAACAGAACCAGTGCAATTCACTTAAGACACTTAACTTCCTTCAAAACTATGAAAAAAAGGAAATTATCTGCCTAAAACCACTAATAGACAAGCTCATGGTAAAGGACAAATCATTTTTGTAGGACATGAAAGTCCAAGACATTCTTACTGCTATAGTCTCTAAACAGTAAACTTTAAATTCCTTCATGTTGTTTTTAGAAAACAAGCTACACAATCATCTGTTGTTCCACTAAAATTCTAGTTAAAACAGGAAACACTTTCCTGAAGAAAAAAGTAACCTCTAAAAGCAGGATCACGTTGAAGTTTGACCTACTTATCCCTAACTTTGGTGGGCTCTGGATGCCTTTATTTCACCGCTCTCATCTCATGTACATCATCACAAACTCCAGTGATGGGCCTGGTATGTTTGCCAGTGTAAAAATGTCTTTCATCATATTCTCACCAGAAGAAATACTCAAAGGTATTAAACCTTCAAGAAGAGATGTAAAGGAACAATCTTGTGTTTTAGGTAAATATAGCTCAGATAAAGATTTAAATATTTTTCTGTGAAAATGTGGCAGTTTTAACAATTTGCTCTCTCTCTAAATTGTTTTCCTCATCACATTGTTCAGATTCCAATGACTTCACTTGAAGAGGGTTTGCTATAGCTACCTTATTTCATTATTAAGTGGGGAAGAATCTATGATGGTTTTCCTTCTCCTTGATGTGGATGTTGTTTTATTTACTTTTATGACTTGCCATTCTCCTTTCATTGCTTCTACAAAGGCAAAACATCTTTTTTTTAAAAAAATTCTGCCTCTGATTTTTCTAAAGTTAAATTTGTTTCTTATCAGTAATCTGTTTCACACCTAATTCTAAGGAGATAGATAGAAGTGAAGGATCTGTGAATTGCAAAACAGGTTTGTGCTTACCTTTCGATAAAATGTTATTTGTCTTGCCTAAGGATTCTTTCTTCTGCTCTTTAACTGGTTTGCAAGGATCTGGAATTTGATCACAGTTTTCCTTT